AAACTTTCCGGGCTCATAGTTTTCTATGTTATGGTTATGTTAGTAGAGATTATTGGTGGGGTGAAAGCCAACAGCCTTGCAGTTATGACAGATGCAGCTCACTTGCTCACTGATGTTGCTGGATTCTCCATATCTCTTTTCACAGTCTGGGCTTCGGCATGGACGGCAACGTCGTACCAATCATTTGGATTCAATCGTCTTGAAGTCCTTGGTGCTCTTCTATCTGTGCAACTCATATGGCTTATATCTGCTCTGCTAATATACGAGGCAGTTGACAGAATTCTCCATGAACATGGCAAGGTAAATGGTGCACTCATGTTTGCAGTTGCTGCTTTCGGATTTTTTATCAACTTGGTTATGGTCCTTTGGCTGGGTCATGACCACACTCACCATGCGTGTGGGGGAACAGATCAACATCAACAACATGACCATGACCATGACCTCGACCACCATCACCACAAACATGACCATGAGAGAGGGAAGCCTAGTGAGTTAACCGAGGACGAGGAGACTAATCTGGTGCCCAGTAGTACAAAGACAAACAAGATATTGAACATAAATCTCCAAGGGGCTTACTTGCATATCATGGCAGACCTAATTCAATCCGTCGGGGTGATGATCGCCGGAGCCGTTATTTGGATAAAACCAGAGTGGTTAATTGTTGATCTTCTCAGCACACTCATCTTCTCTACATTTGCTTTAAGCACCACTCTACCCATGCTTAGAGATATTTTCACCATATTGATGGAAAGGACACCAAGAGACATTAATATCGATATGCTCGAAAGTGGTATCAAGGGCATCAATGGAGTCCATAACATTCATGACCTCCACGTATGGGCGATAACCGTTGGGAAACTTGTGTTGTCCTGTCATGTTGAAGCTGAGCCGGGAACTAGTTCTAATGAAATACTCAGACAGATCAGTGATTACTGTGAAAAAACATACGAAATTCGTCACATAACTATACAGATCGAGTAGTCTTTCGGTAAGTTCCTTAACAAATCTTGCAATTTAAACAGCTTTACATTTTCTTTTCTATACTTTGTCGGTGAATGTAGATTGAATCATCGAAGATTGCTGACCAACTGTTGCAATTGCTTCGGCTTAAATGATATATTAATGAGTTAATGACTTGTAAACACTTGACTTGTCTGTGGTCCTTTCTTGGAGTTTCCTGATGCACCAGCGACACTCATGGTGGTTCCTTGGCCGGGAAAAGCGGGTTAGCCGCTGCTTCCTTGGTTACCAATGGTTTTTTTTTTTGGTTGGAACATGGTAGATCTCATTCAATATAACTTGGAATGTCCCAGTCATGTTCAGTCTACCCGTAACATACATTTCATTTGAGCCCCAGTCATGTTCAGTCTGCTTAGTGGAAGGGTTTATGGATGAATTTTCTTAAGACAAATTATAATATCCTTAAAATTTGATTTAATATTTTTTTTATTTCCGACAATCGAGAAATATCTACCGATGATAATTTTGAATTTATAATTATTGAAAATAAAGTGTGATTAGATTCGAATAAGTAGTAGTTGAAAGGAATTAAACCTAATTGGGATCAAAGGACAAAATTATGAATTTTTCAAAATGGGAAGTTTTGGATTAAATTGAATTGAAGAATGAACTACGAAGTTGCATGTAAAATAAACCCAATTTCCTTAGCTTGGTGAGTCATCAAGACATGAGGCTTGTGCTTATATCTAAGCTAATTTCAATTTAATTGAGATTGAAAGTTTTGACAAATAGCGGGGCAAACCCACAGTTTTGTCAATGGCAAGAGAGAAGTGAAAATTTGCTTTCTTTCTCCTTCCAAATTCCACCCCAATTGTCGCCATTGATGTCCCTTCAAAGCTTGAGTTTCAATTCCATTTTTAGTTCATAATTAGTGGTCAAGTTTGTTTTGAAGTTGGATCCTTCTAATATATCATGGGGTGATAACCTTCCCTTAAGGTAAGCTACTAAGAATTTAATTCTTAAACCCTAAATGCAAGGGATTTTATTTAGGGTTCACCAGGTTCTAATTTTAGCTCCTTAAACGAATTAATGAAATTTTGATATGAATATGATAATAGTATATTAGGCAATTTTTTTTCTGAATAACGTGTTGAAACAAATAGTCATATAGGGTTCAAGAAAAAATATTTCTTCAATTAAGATGTTTGATACGGTACTCATTGAAAGTCGTTTGGACCATACGATGACTTTGGAAAATCGCATAGATTACGGGATATCTTTTAAAGCTTTATACATGCACAATAATAGGAATAATTGGTGGAGCTTTAGAAGTAGTATTGTGGTCTAGACGACTTCCAAAAATTATTGTGTGGTCTATACGATTTTCAGAGACCATCGTGTGATTTAAGCGATTTTCAAAGATCATTGTATAGGCTGGGTAGCTTCTATTGTGTGATTCATGTAACTTTCAACAAATATGGTAACAAATACCTTAGGTGAAGAATAATTTTCCCTGCACTCTATATGGTCAAATATTTTTCAATACACTATTGAAACAATTTTTCTATATACACGTTGTTTGTTAATTAAAACCCCAATTGAAAAAGTTGAGAATCGAAGGTTAGCAGAAGCAATGTGGTGATTAGGGATACTCCTTGAGTTAGGGAGTTGTAATCATAACCGAATCAAATATTATGAATATCATGTGTGGGGGTAAGTTTTTGGTAAGCTAGTTAAAGTATATATTATGATAAATTGAGTTGTTATTGACGAGTAATATGTGTATGATCATTCGAACATGTTATGATTTATATGTATTAAGCATTATCAGGGGTCTGATATTTTATTCTGATTAATGATGAAGTTTAAGGCTCAATATGGTATTAAAATCTAAGTATCATTACAAGTTATTATAAAAACAAGCGTATAATTAGTTGGGTGTCAAATACATGTGTCGTATCACAGAATTTATTTGAGCTCATGTATATGTTTATGTATGATTTTAGTCATTTTGGCAGTATTCACGGGATGTGTATGATTGGTCTTTGGGTTACTTGTATAGGACCGGTTGAATTTAAATTATTAATATTTATTTTCGTATCCAAATATTTTAATATCAATATTTATATTCTTATAATTAAAAATATCTTAACTAACAACCAAATCTATTATATCACGTATATATATTTAATATTAGAATTTAATTAATTTTATAATCCAATTAATTTAAAGTAAACAATTAAAATAAAAAAAAATTGAAGTCTTTAAGTAAAATTGAAGTTCAAGGAAAGGGATTATATGATGGAAGGTTTCTGTTTTTAGTGTATTTTCTTAGGTTAACTTGAGTTCTTTTTTTGTAGAGTAAGGTCCCATCTTGTTTTTTGTTTTGAGTTTTTCTTCATAGATTAACTCGGGTTCTTCGGAGGGTAAAGTCTCCATCTTGTTTTGAGTTCCTCTTCAAATGTTAGCTCGGTCTCCTTTTCAAAGGATTAATTGAGATCATGTTTTTTATTTTGAGTCTCTCATTAAAGGTAGTGGTTCTTCTTCAGAGGGTAATATCTCCATATTATATGGTTGTAAGGAGACACGATATTACGAGAATCTCTTGTTATGATATTCGGATGACAGGTAGTTAACCTATTGATTGAGTAATTATGTTTGATATACCTTGTAGATTGGAATGCTTATGTTTGTATGTTGTTGTCTGATTTAGAGGACCCACTAGGCTCTATAGTTTATCTTATCTTTTATACTTTTCCTTTTGAATTATTCTATAATTTAAAAAAATGATTTAAACATTGATTTTACTATTTAACTATAACTCTTGCATGCATAATTTATATTAATCCAATTATTAAAATTTTTAAATGATTTGACAAGCACATTTTATATATAGGAGTCACTTTGATAATCATTACAATCTCTACGATCCAATCGTAATATAAGTCACTTGTATCTAAGTACATAACATGTATCGACACGTTTAATGATATAGTATCTAAATACACATTTCATTAACATAAAAATTATTAGTTAGGAATCAAAAACTAAATTTGCATTCAATTTGATTTTTATAAAAACAAGGATAAAGTTATATATGAAAGAGATAATATAAATCATTCAGTATCATTTTTTGACGACTAAAGTTGGAGGGATACCAAGTCATTTACTTGAATTGTACATCAAAACTTGAATAACAACCACATAAATACTTCTTTAATGATAAACCTTAAACATGTTCATCTTAAAATTTTATTTGTATTCGTTTCATATAAAAAAATTATATTATTAACGTATGCATATCTACCCTAAAAAATATTTGTAGATCCACTGCCAATGAGACCCAAGATGAAAACTTAGCAAACACTGTCAGCCGTTATTTTCCCAAGAAGAAACTCATCAATCTGAAGATATTTTCCAAGGAAAATTTTGTCAATTCTACCAGCTCTATCTAATTGGGTGAGCTGACACATCAACTTTATCTCAATGATTGAGCTATTTTTGGACTAGCAACAGAGTTGTATAAGTTTTCTCTTATATAATGGCTGTCCCTTTTTTCCCATATGTATGGGGTAAGGGGAGGTAAGATAGTAGGCTGCCCCCAACACCAGGTTGAGAGCACTCTCTTAATGGTATGCAATTTGATTATAAATTATAATATATTGGAATTAGAACCCCACCTCATTCCTGGAAAAGCAATGGGAATTTTGACAAATTTTAGATGCTGGATAAGAGAGTGCTTATTCTTCATGGAAAAACTTAATCCTTTTCATATTTCTCTTCAAATTGAACCCGAATTTTAGATGGACCGAGTTTATCCATTAAAGGACAGATGGCAGTAAGCAATTAGCCGATGCCAAGTGGACCCCTGGTGGCACTTATCCGTTATGTTTAAGACATATTATTTGCAGTGCAGAGGAAACTTCATTTCAAAATTTTGCCATAAAATATAGTAACACATCATCATTATTGGTTGATGATGATGTGCACATGGGCTGCACTGCAAATGGCTATTTGTTTAGCCATTTTATGGGAAATTCTATATATTTGATGATTACTGAGACAGTTTGAGATATATCCTCCCATATACTCTGGCTTTCCCATAGTCTATTTGAGAAGAAAAGGAAATGGAGAGCAAGAAAGAAGTTGGTTCGTCATCCTCATTCACTGCTGATCTTTTTGGTTCCAAACAATCATCATCATCATCATGCAAAGGGATTTTCAGTTCAATTTTTCCACCTCCATCAATGGTATAAACTGTTCAAAAAATGGTAGATTTCATTGCAGTTCAACAAGAATCTAAAACACTCCCTTTCTTCTTTTATGACAAGATTTAGTTCATGTGTCTCGTTTTGATTCATTTTCTTTATTAAGATTTCTAGTCTGATAGGAGTTCTCATTATTCGAAATTTCAGGCATTAGAATCATGGACGAAACAGCCTTTACAACATGGAATGCAAGGTTAATGAACAATGATATTTTGTTTTCACATAACTGAGTTGACTGTGGAGAATATATGGTGGAGAGAACCGTAACAGCAACTACAATGTCGTGTTGCAGCTGCAATTTAAATCTCCGGTTTTTACTTGCAAGATAGTGTCCTGATTAACATGATCTGATTTTGTTTTACTCATATAATGTAGCTCCACTTGCTGAGAGTGCAACCTATAGCATAACCAACAAGGAAATGAACTCTGTTTTCAAGGAAGAAAGGATGGAACCATGCCATTTAAGTTCATCTATTTACTATGGAGGCCGAGACAATATATGGTCATCCCTCAAGTACCCAAACTTCTACATCATATCCTACTGTAAGTTTCGAGATTCATCGAATCTGATCCCAGGAAAAAAAATGAAACCTACTTTGTGATCCATGCATGAAAGTAATTGTGTTCAATATTGTGAATGAATAGTTTAAGAAAGATGGAGAAGATCCTAACGGAAGCAATTCACAGGATGCTTCTAGGGGAAACTGGTGGCAAGGTACACTTCTTTTCTAATGCAACTATGAATTATACCATATCGATATCTCGAAACTCGACTTTGATTTCTGCAGGTTCACTTTATTATTAGAGCCTAGCTTTTCAGTGCATAGCACTGTCCATCAGTTTCCCAAGGTACTTTTCATTTCAAAACTTTAACTACTTTTCTTTCACAACCTTACCCTTTCATTTACTATTTGTTTTGAATCTTGACATTTTGCAGGAATTTTTCATAAAAGCAAGCAAATAATCATGGAAGATATAAAGTATAAATAAGTTTCTGACATGGACAGATCCTACATAGGGTTCTGTAATATGACATGTTTTCATAATTTTATCCGGAAATGAATTTTGAGAAGTCTCCATTATAGGCTCTTCTCTGGGTAATTTCTATTTGGCTTAGGAGAATGATTGCTTCTATAAATATAGATACCAATGCTTGAGATGCAATTTTCCAGTATTCATAAAGAAGGATTGCCCTTTGCAAGGAAAATAAATTAAATGCAAGACTGAAATAGAATATCAACATATTTCTAGTGGCAATGAGCAAGAAAAAGTTACTTTTACTGATATCTGCAATTTCACATGGTTCCAAGTGCAGATATGAGATGAAATTCTTCTTAACACACCGTCACTAGCATTTCTTGCCTAAATAAGCCAAGACTATGTAGATCCAAATGTCCCTGTCATGCCGTCTATATTTGTACCAGGCTGAAAGAGATTACAGCCCATAAATTCAAAGAAATAAAATAGGTTTAATTAAAAAAATTCCATAAAAAGTTATGTAAATTGTTCTTCAGTAGTCTGCAGAAGCTCTTGAATGATATTACAATGAAGGTTTCTTATGAAATTCAATGCCAAGTAGCAGCTAGATTTGTTCGGTTCCTTGCTTGAGTATGCAATGATCGAATGGTCTTCCAGTCGCATCTTGAGTGTGAAATTACTTCCATACAATGGCCCGCTCAAGTTGTTGGCCTTGAACTGTAAAAAACTAAATTACTAGTTGGATATATTAAAAAGGTTGAATTTGGAGAAGTGGGAAAAAATACCCTTAATATTTTATTAAGTAACTATTTTGGTACTAATTCTTTTAAGTGCTTCGTCCCTACATTTTATTTGGAGGTAAAATGCCTTAGGATTGGATGAAAACTATTAGTTAATGAACAGTAAAAACTTATCGTTGACAATATAATTGTTCATAATCAGGTATCCGTATGTTCGGGTACCGAAATATTGACCCGTTACCTAACCAACTAAATTTGGATGAGTACCCAATTCATATTTATTTTATTTTTATTTGAATAATATTACTTTTAAAATTCATATAAAAAACATAAACTTAAAATTTAAAACTATAATACATAATCCACTCATATACTTTAAAAATGCAAATTACATAATCTAAAGATAACACTTAAAATTAAAAAAATATAATAAAGAAATGTAAATAAATTTGGAATGTTCTAAAGTTAAAAGAAATAATTCAAAATGTTATGATAAAATAATTTAAGAATTTAGAATATTAAGATGAAGAAATTTAGGTATTGAGAATGAAAAATCCAATAAAAAAATAGGGAATCAAGTTACTGGTGAAGTGAATTTTGTGATCCAGTTCTGGCCCGTAAACCTGTGAAGAACTGTGATGGGTCAGATACTTGACCCGTAAATTCATGTATTTACGGTCCAAAACTAGCGGTTGTTGGCAGTCGCCGTTGGTCGTTGCTGGAGACCAAAATACAAGGTCGGACGTTTTTGGTCCTCTAGTTAGAAATATGCGGTGGGAATATTCAAATGGTGAGCCATTCGCTGCAAATATAACCCCAACCGTTCGCATTTTAATGGTCCTTTCCCCGAGACATATTGCACCCGTCAATGGAAGGAGTACATTCACTGGACGGATCTCCAAGCTGAGGCTCAGATCATCGGAATCTAAAACCACCCAAACTTAGCTAGCCTTTTTTTTTATCTTTCCTTCTATTTTTGCTTTGAGCTAACCTTGATTTCTCTGGTTGCAGGTGGCGGCTGGAGTGCGAAGCACTGGCGAATCTAGAAATTTATAAATAAGATCTAAAATTTTAATTTTCTTTTTTTTAAAATAATGGATGTAAATTTTTTTTATTTTTTTATTTTTTTTAACATATTATACTAAATTTTATTTATTTTTCTTAAATAATATGATACACTTGACCCGAACTTAGTGCATCCGACCCTAGTGTGAAGGAGGGGCGGTCTTCACCGTAGTTGTTGGACTACTTTCAAGGCCATCGCCGATGATCACTGATGCAACACAAGTATCCCAACAAGTGATTTTCCTTAAAACAAAATAAAATCATCTCGATTTATTAATTCGGTATTCCAAAAATAAATACAAGACATTCACTTGATATAAAACAATTCAGAAATATATAAATCCACTTTAATTTACTCTTAATAAATATTATACTTCGTAAAATATTCGATACTATATTTAAATATTTTAATTTCATAAATTATTTAATTAAATACTTTGGACTCTCGGATTAGATTTGGATACACGATTTGAGTTCGTGAAAGGTATTATCACGTCGCTCGATTTTGATTTGCGGTTTGTTGGTGGTATTTTAATAGTTTCATCTCCTTTCGGGGTTTATTTACCGATGCGATCAGATCTATTCGTATCTATATTTTTTCGAGTTTATTTGGTTTAATATTTTTCTTATATGGTCATCGTGATCTTAAGTGGTTAATTTTTTTGTATTTAGAAAAATATCTTTATTATATGTTTACATTACTGTTGTGATTTAAACCTTTATTGTAATTTAAATATTTTTTATTTTTAATAAAATTAATGATTTCTATCATAAAAAAACATAAAGTATGTTTTTATTTTACATAATAAAGTACGTTTAAGTTTATTTATTTTTATTTAAGAATTAAGAGATAGTACATTATTTAAGTAGGATACTTCTTTTAAAAAAATATACTAATAAAAAATATAACTAATATTTAATTAAATAGTTACTTTAATTGTTATTTTTCATTTTAGAACATTTTGGTTTTCAATGTTTTATTTCGGACAAAAAAACCCTAACATTTAACTAAATAAGTACTTTAATTCTTATAATTTTTTAGAATATTTTACCCATCAACGTTTAATTTTAGAGTGAAAAGACTCGCACTTTGGAGCTTTAATCTTTTGTTGACTAATAAATTTCATCCTCATAAGGGCTATTTTGCATATAAGGGCCAAAATATTTGAAAAAGAATATGAACTAAAATGACTATTAATTCCAACAATAGGGGCAATTTTATCGTTAAGCCGAAACATTAGCCTGCTTGTTAGATCAGAATCAGATTGAGGTTCAGATTGAATTTTGTAAAGTATTTTAACCTGTAAAATGGATCTAGAAGGGCAGTAGACAATGATGGAGTTTATTTTCCACTCAAAGTGAAGACAACTTGAGCCAGCAGCTATTGACTACTGAAAAAGTAGATGCCTCCAAGGAACATAGCTTTAATGTTGTTAGAAAAGTTGGTCCATTTTGAAGTGCAAATTCACATTTAGAAAACGTATAGAAATAAACAACTCTCAATATCCAGCCATCTCCACATTTTCATTATCCACTCCATTGGCCTTTGAGTCTTCAGCTCCACTTTACCATTAACTTGCTGCACCAGGAAAAAAAAAACCAAAGCAATGGAGAAGCAACAGAAACCCGGTCATTTGGTGCTTGTTATGGTACCCTTTCAAGGCCACATAACACCTATGCTCCAGCTAGCTACTATCTTACACTCAAAAGGCTTCTCAATCACTATAGTTCACACAGAATTGAACTCTCCTAACCCTTCCGACTACCCCGAATTCACCTTCGTATCGATACCAGATAAGCTCACAAAATCTCAACTTTCTGGTAAAGATGCTGCTGGTCTCTTTCAGAGTCTCAACAAGAACTGTGCAGCACCATTGCAACAATGCCTCCAAAAGATAATGAATTCTCAGGGTCATATTGCCGCCATCATCTATGATACGATCATGTTTTGTGCTCAAGCTATTGCTGATGATCTTAGGCTACCAGGGATGACTCTGCGTACGAGTTCTGCTACAATGTTACTATTATATAACGCCTTTCCTGAACTTGATGAGAGAGGTATAGATCTTTAATGTTTGGTTGCAACAAGTTCTACACATGATTATTCAGATGCATGCTAAATTTTGTATACAATTCGGAGAAGAATAATCTCCTAACATTTGCGTTACAGATTTCATTTCAAAGATTGAATCGCCAGAGCTTCAACCTCTTCAGCTTCAACGCTTTCGCGCATTACTATTTCAGAATCCAACCGAAGCGATGGTGGAATTCAGAGCCACATTCTTGAATGCTGTGATGTGCTCATCAGCTATAATTGTGAACTCAATGGAATTTCTTGAACAAGAAGCAGTGCCAAAGGTTAAAAAATTCTTCCCAGCTCCAACTTTCACCATAGGACCATTACACAAATTAGCTCCAACGATATGCAGCTCACTGTTAACTGAAGATGATAAATGCATTTGTTGGCTTAACAAACAAGCCCCCGAATCTGTCATCTATGTGAGCTTCGGTAGCATAGCGAGCATCGATAAGGAGGAACTAATCGAGGCAGCTTGGGGGCTAGCCAACAGTGAACGACCCTTCCTTTGGGTGGTGAGGCCTGGTATGGTTTGTGGCTCAGAATGGATAGAACTATTGCCAAATGGGTTCCAGTAGAGTGTGGGACAAAGGGCTTGCATTGTACAATGGACGCCTCAAAAGGAAGTGTTGGCTCATGATGCAGTGGGTGGATTTTGGAGCCACTGTGGCTGGAATTCAACTATGGAGAGTATTTGTGAAGGGGTTCCGATGCTATGCAAGCCTTTCTTTGGAGATCAACACTTGAACACAAGTTACGTCTGTAATGTTTGGAAAATAGGGATGGAATTGCATGAGCTAAAAAGATGGAGCGTAGAAAGAAAAATAAAAAGACTGATGGTGGATATGGAAGGTAAGGAGATCAGAAAGAGAGCTATGGGTTTGATGAAGGAAGCTGCTCTTTGTTTAATGAAGGACGGCTCTACAAGCTGTTCTTTCAGTGATTTAATAAACCAGATATCATCAGTTTCAGACACTTGAAACTGATCATCCTCGAACTTTTAGTTTATAAAGTATCAGAGCCGGTCCTGACATTTTAAGAGCCCTAGGTCAGGAGTTGATGACAAGCAGATAAGTGAGGGCCCACATTTAATTTCCTTTCGAATCATTAAAATGGGACCTATTGAATCACTATATTTTTGAGTTTTTTTTAATAAAAAATGACGTTTAAAAATATTTTTTAATTATTAGAGCCCACTAAATTATCATATTTTCGAGTGTTTGAAATAAAAAAATACGTTTAAAAATAATTTTTAATTATTAAACTTAACAATATTTTTAAAAATGACCCCTTTAAACTTGGGGCCTAGGCGGTCGCACCTCTTACCTATGCCCAGGGCCGGCCCTGTAAAGTATGGCAACTGCGTTGCTTCTTATTTTTATTTTTACTTTTTGAAAATAAGCTGGGATAATGAGAAAGCACACATATTTGCAGCATTGATGTATTGTTTTGTTAAACATCCCACATTATTAAAAGAGATATTTGGGGATTTAAAAAATAAAAAATGAGATCCAAAATTTTAATATTTTTATTCAAAAAAATTGGGTATGTAAATTTCATTATTATTTTTTACTTTTCATAACAAATTGAATTAAATTTAATAAATTTCTCAAAATAATAAATATACAATTGAATCCCATATAGATTATATATATCCGCCCCTAGAAAGAAGATAAAAGGAAGTCCTCCTATAGGTCAAGAGAGAAGGGATCGAAGACGCTACTCCTTCAATTCTCAAAAAAGAATGTTAAAAATAATTTTGTGATTCGAATTTTTACACTTACTCATTAAAAATATTACTCAAAATTTTTAAAATTCTATTTTTCTCTAGCAGATACTTGGGATAATAACCATTTATATATTTCCAAATTAAGATACAATAAAGTGTAGAACTGCGTGATGGACATGATGAATATTTATAAGAAGAATAAATTACATAAATGATCATTCATATTTAATTTTCTTTTATTAATATTTCAAAAATAATAATTTGATCATTGGCATTATTAATTTATAACAAATAAATCACTTATCGTTAACAACCATTACTAAGAGTAACAAAAAAATAATATGACGCATTAAACCGGTTGTTTGACTGATTGTTTGACTCTCCTCTTTAAATACCACATTCTCTAAAATTCTTAATTTAAGCTTTTCAAATTTAAAGTAGGGTAAACTGCTTATTTGACCACTTAACAAATAATAGATAATTTTTTTATTAATTTAGGGTAGTTACAAAATAGTATCTATTCTAAAGATTCTTAAACGTTTGACAATGAAAGCTCAAACATCTTTGTAGTTTTTGGTGCTCGAACTTGAGACCTCTAAAGATATCAACCATCTCTTTAATGACTGAGATAACTTAACTCATGATAAAATAATAGAGATTGATTAAGTATTTAATCTCAAAAATTAAAAAGGATAAAAGTTTAATTTTACTTGATTAAATCATAAATTTTGAGATGGACAAAAACAATTTTCATTCTCTGCGTGCCTCAAAACAACAAGGTAATTTTTTAAGTATACTTATCTGTATTTGATTTATTAATCGACTAATCTGGATCGGATACTGCAGGGGCAAGGGTGACCCTCTCAACCGAAATTGCTCCATTCGTGAACGTCAAGATTCGAACCCCTAACTTTTCTAAATGATTTAGTATCTCATCTCACTAAATCAATTATTTGTTGATAACAATTTAGTAACTTTAATTCCAAACAAAAAAAATGGATGTCCCTTGTTCCCATATGTAATGGGGTAAGGGGGAGGTAAGATAGTAGGTTGCCCCCAACACTAGGTTGATAGCAGCTTCCGTAGAGACCTCCGAATTATAAAATGCCCTTCATGGGACTCGATCCCACAACCTCAAGATTAATAACCTTGAGTTCTACCAACTGAGCTGGATGGTCATTTCTTTAATTCCAAACAAGAATGTTGTCAATGAAGAAAAGTTAGCAACATGTAGAAAGAATACATATTTTTTTTCTTTTATCTCTTCCAAGAATACATGCAAAAAATTAGAATTTGCGTATAGCTTTGAGACTCCTTAAAATAGAACCCCACCGTGTGGTTATTATTGAGAGGAGATAATTGGTGTCATACTTTTTTCCTAGACAACCTTTTTATAGATAAGTGGAGATGGAGAAGCAAAGGTGGTTTCTATGTCCATTCGAGGGGACACACGCACCTTTCAATACCTCAGTACCGCACTCTTCTTCATGCCATTGGCCACAAACTCAAGGTAGCCAATTTCAATTTCTCTTGAGTATTAAGAAAAAGTAGATGTGGCTTGCTTGTTTTTCTGGAAAAATGGTCAAATTTGGTGTGCTAATTGGACTAAACGTACCGGGGGGGGGGGGACTGCTTTTAATATGCCATTGACCTTTGAGTGTCCAATTTCATTTTTCCATTAACCTCACGAAAATTTGCCACACCGAATCAATGGAGAAACAACGAAAATCAGGTCATTTGGTGCTTGTTATGGTACCCTTTCAAGGCCACATAACACCCATGCTCCAGCTAGCTACTATCTTACACTCAAAAGGCTTCTCAATCACCATAGTTCACCCTGAATTGAACTCTCCTAACCCTTCAGACCACCCTGAAATTGCCTTTGTTTCGATACAGGACAAGCTCACGAAATCCCAATTCTCGCTTAAAGATGTTGCAAGTCTCACGCTGATTCTCAATAGAAACTGTGCAGCACCATTACAGCAATGCATAACAAATATATTGCATTCTTACGATCATATAGCCGCTGTTGTCTACGATACACTCATGTTTTGTGCTCAAACTATCGCCGACAATCTGAGTCTACCGGGGATAACTCTTCGTACATGCTCTGCTACAACGTTGCTATTATTTCCTGTCTTTCCTCAACTTGATGAGAAAGGTATACTTCTTTATTGTCTGGTTGCGGCAACTTGATGTTAAGGCAGAAGCAATCGGACATGCTGTTTGTCTGTAATGTTAAACTGTTCCAATCCAATCCACTAATAATCCAAGTGATTCGGTCAATATCCTAAACTCTTTAAATTTGTCTTACAGATTTTATTTCTGAAATTGAATCGCCAGAGCTTCAAGTTCTTGAGCTTGAACGCTTTCGTGCATTATTATCACAAAATCCAACTGAAGCTGTGATGGAGAGTAGATTCGCATTCACGAATGCGGTGAGGAGCTCATCAGCTATAATTGTGAACTCAATGGAATTTCTTGAACAAGAAGCACTGTCAAAGGTCAAACAATACTTCCCTGCTCCAATTTTCACCATAGGACCAATACATAAATTAGCCCCCAAGGTTTACAGCTCATTGTTGACTGAAGATGATAAATGCATCTCTTGGCTCGACAAACAATCCCCCGAATCTGTCATTTACGTGAGCTTCGGTAGCATAGCCAGCATCGATAAACAAGAACTGATCGAGGTGGCTTGGGGGCTAGCCAACAGTAAACAACCCTTTTTGTGGGTGGTTAGGCCTGATTCGGTTCGTGGCTTGGACTGGAATGAACCATTACAAAACGGATTCCAGGAGAGTGTGGGAGAAAGAGGCTGCATAGTGAAATGGACACCTCAGAAGGAAGTGTTGGCGCATATATCAGTAGGTGGATTTTGGAGCCACGGTGGCTGGAATTCAACCATTGAGAGCATTTGTGAAGGGGTGCCAATGATATGCAAACCTTTCTTTGGAGACCAACACTTGAACTCAAGTTACATATGTAAGGTTTGGAAAATAGGGTTGGAACTGCATGAACTAGAACGCGGGAACATAGAAAGAACAATAAGAAGACTAATGGTGGATATGGAAGGTAATGAGATCAGAACGAGAGCTATGGATTTGAAGGAGAAAGCAGCTCTTTCTCTGATGGAAAGAGGTTCTTCAAGCTGTTCTCTCCATGATTTAACAAATCAGATTTCATCAGTTTAAGAGACATGAAACTGAACATCATTGTTGTACTTTTAGTTTGTCATTATCTTTAAGCTAGAATATAGAAAAATATCAAACATTTGCAGCATAAATGTAGTCTTTTGTTAAAACATTTTGCATTGTTAGAAGATGAATCCTTTAAGAAAACCATTGTTTCAACATACAAATCGACAACATATAAGAAAACTATCTCAAATTGTTTCATCAGAAAATGAGAGAAGTTGATCAACCAGAAATCTGGAAAGCTTTGACATCTGGTTTATTCACAGTAAGAGTTAGAACCCCATTTTCCATGGAAGCTTTCGCCTTATCCATCTTTACATTCTCAGGCAGCCTGAATCTCCTCATAAGCTTCCCACTGCTACGTTCAACCCGGCGCCAGTTATCGTTCTTGTCTTCCTTCTCAACATCTATCAATCTCTGTTGCTGTTCTGTCCATGTCTCGATGCCCACAATCAGGGAGAGTAGGAGTCTTGTATTTCGGTACGCTACGTACAGAAATTGAATTTTCTTTTATCATTTTGATTAGTTACAACTTAGACAAAAAGTACGAAAATTTGGATCTAAACATTATTTAACGATCTAGGATAACTTCTACAATTATCTATGAAACTAACGTAATGTTGATGCGGTATATTAGTTGACTTACTTGGCACTATTTGATCATATAAGCTGACTTATCTTGATAACCATTTTAGGTAGTTGTAGATCCCTAAGTGCGGATGAGCACTGAAATATGAAATATCTTCATAAATGGATGTCCCTTCTTCCCATATATAACGGGGTAAGGGGAATTAAGATAGTAAGTTGCCCCCAACATCAGGTTGAGAGCAGCTTCCGTAGAAGACCTCCAAATTATGAAATGCCCTCCGTGGGACTCGATCCCACGACCTCAAGATTAAAAACCTTGTGCTCTACAATTATTTATTTTACTGATTATACTAGTTCTGAAATTTTATTTGTATTCATCTCGTACAAACATATTATATTGATAATATATATAGAGGAGGGGAGAGGTAATATACAGTATATGTCCCCAAACTATGACTCTCATTTTAAATTGATTCCTAAACTTTTGAATAGTTCAATTTCATCCTCAAACCTCAAACTATGACTCTCATTTTAAATTAGTCTTTAAACTTTTGAACATTATAATTTCATCCCTAAACTATGATTATTTCTAAATATGTCCCTAAACTTTTGAATATTCCAATTTCATCCACAAATTCATCCAAATATGTAATTAGTTTCAACCATAATTTAACCTAAATTTTATTTTTTTTTCAAATATATAATAATATAACTTGGCCTAACAGTTTTATTAACAAGTGATGTGATTAGTGTATACATATAGTTTGGGATGAAATTTGAATGTTCAAGAAGTTTGGGATCCAATTTAGAACGAAGGTCATAGTTTGGGGACGAAACTGAAATGTTCAAAAATTTGAGGACCAATTTAGAATCAAAGTCATAATTTATGGATTAATTTAAAATGAGAGACATACTTTGAGAACATATGATACAATTAACTTTTATATATATATATATATATATTCACCCTAAAAAATATTTCTAGATATATCATTAAATAAGCGTAAGCTTCAACCAACTGCTATAATAGTGGTAAGCTAGTAAATAAATGCTAGGTTTTCTTCTTTTTCTTTAATCTTGGAAGAAAGGCACGGGATAAAGCATAAATATTCATTAGGGAAATGTAAACAATATGAATGATAGACATAATCACTTACTAAAATAAACTGATAGGAAAAGAAGTGTTGAAATCTTTAACGTCTTTAAAATTTCATGTTTAAGTGCAAATTTCTTTTCTATGCTTTTAGTTAATTTTTTTTTATAATTTTTTTGGATAAATTGAATTTTATTATCCAAAAGAGCATAGTTCTGCTACAAAATACAATCAACCAATCTGAACAAAAGAATTATACACAGCCTACTTACAAAAGACAAAGATTGGTTATGCTATACCCCATGTAATACAAAGGTTATAATTAGTTCTATCAGCTCTATTAATATTTTTACCCTTTAGTTGTATCCGCACAACTTCCATAATTACATTAAGCAATTCCTCGGTTGATCTGTGTCGACCTTGGAAAATTTTGTAATTCATTTCCTCCCACAATGTGTAGATATAGGTTGTCCAAGAGATCTTCAAGATTGTGATGAGTAAGGATTTCCCTTTCCATATTGATGAAGCCCGAGTAACCATATCTTCCCACGTTGAGGATGCATGCTTCAAGTCGTTAAGCGATAGGATGGAGTTCCAAAGACGAACAACAAGATAACATTGACAGAAAAGATGGTTTCTTGTCTTCTGTTCAATGCTGCAGTTTACACAGATCCCTTCAATGGTAATTCCCATTTTGAGTAACCGATCCCTTATTGGTAATCTGTTCAACAAAGTCATCCAAGCAATTAAACTGAATTTTGGAATGTGCAAGGGAAACCAAATAAGATTGTGCCAGGGTACTTTCTCTCTTTTGGTTCGGATTGAATCCCAAATGTCTCTTAGCTTAAGTGAACCTGAAGAAGAGAAGATGTTGAGAGCAGTAAAACACAGTTTTAACATTCTTTTAACACTCCAAATCACGTTAGAACCTGCAACATAATTCCAAAACTCTTGATATTTGAAAACATAATTTTTTAACCATGCAACTCAAAGCGAGTCATCACCCGCTAAGATTTTCCTAATTAGATCAATAGTACATGCTTTGTTCCAGGTATTAGTGTTCTTAAGGTTAAGACCACCTTCGACTTTTGAGAAACAGATAAATTCTCAGCTTACTCGAGCACCTGCAGCAGCCTTGTCTTCACCTTTCCAGATAAATTACAGTATAGTATTTGTTTAAAATTTTTCTTAATCATTGACAACACACACCCAATACAACTGCTTGAACCTAAGACCTAGCATTCCCTTTTAACTATTAAGATCACTTAATAAGTTATTTAATAAAACTTTATACGCTATTCGTTATTCATTTTCAGTTCATTTATTTACTAATTTGTATATATTATTATAATGTTTGATATTTTAATTACATACATAACCTTGTAACAGTTCTCAAAAGTAGGCTTTTGTCTACGAAAGACAACAAATAACTTTATGATCTTCGCTTGAACCACATAATTAAATTAACTATATATATCTAACAATAAATTGTATGCTTAATTAACAATTAAATATGTCGATTTTATAACATTCACGAGTATGTGGGTTCGAGGGCTCTCGAGTATAATTACTTTCTATTTGAAGGCTAAAAGTTGTATCGACAATTTAAGTATTATTATTTATGCCTAAAATATCTTAATAGATTAACTTTTTAAATTTTACATGTTTAAAAAGAATAAAGTCAGATTTAATATCGTAAAAATTTAAAATTAAAGGTGAAAACAAATTTTTTTAGAAGAAACGACGATAAGTTAGTGTCAATTTCTAAGTAGCGCATAGATTTTGAAAGGTTATATGGATTAAAAAAATAACCTTAACGAGATATCCAAATATAAGGTTATAACCTTTCAAAGTTATACAATATATTTGTAGTTCAAATATCAACATGATTTATTTTTTAAATATATATTTTATTTAAATATTTTTTTCAACTACTTAAAAATATTAGTGATTAATTTTAAAAAATTATAAAGTCAAATTAAATAGTTTAATATACTAATAAAAAAATTGGAAAAAGAAGGAATATGATACATTAAACATATATGTTAGCTCTAGAAAAAGGGAAACAAAAACAATGATGATGAGATATGATACGATAGAGACAAACCCAACAACCTCCTACATGTGAAATAAAACGATAATTTAATGTTTTATTGCAAAAATTAATGTAAATAAAAGAAAAGGGATGAAAGCGAGTGAAAAACCCAGTTACACAACCTTCCATGGTTGCGATTGAAGGCATTTTTTTTAATTACCCAGTTTCTTATTTATCTTGCTTTCAGTCTTCTTTCCTTGTTTCACTGTCACTCAACCAATTTCTTTCCTTTTATTGGCCCAGATCTCAGCTACCCATTTCTCATATTCGGTCCCTAATGGCAGATCTCAGGTTTTCCTTCGCTGAAACTTTTCTTTGCAGTGCTTTTGCTGCTTGTTTTGCTGAGGTAGTCACGATCTATGGTATAAAATTTCTATATGCTCTTTTCTTTTCTGTATGTTTTGTAAATTATATGCATATTTCTGCTTTTTTATGGTTTCATCTGAAGCTTATTGCATACTATTACGCCCGCCTTTTATAGTTGTTTAATTCCCTGATGATGATTCAGTTTGTTTTGTCCTTTAGCTTCTTGTTTCTGGGTATTTGATATTTTATCAGTTATACAATGTTAATGGGTTTTGATTGAATGTTAAAAAGTACTGTGCTGTAAAAAAAAAATCATCAAACTTTGTGGGAATTAGGCCATATGGTACTAGCTCAGCTAGAGTTTAGATGCTTGGTCATTTTGTAAGGAATGTATGTTCAATTGCTACTATTTCAATTATAAATCTCCATAAGTGGAGGATACAATTGGCAGAATTTTTTTTTAAATTTTTTGTACTGATTTATCCGCGGATATATTGTTAATCAGTTTTATATAGTAGTATTAAAACATTTATATGGAACACTTGTTTTCATATAATTGATGTAATGTGGCGTTATATATGCTTCAAGTATTAATTGACTCATTCTTGTTCAATGCTTCAAATTGTTCACTTAACTTGTTCAATGCTTCAAATCGTTCACTTAACATTCAGAGAGGTGTTTCCCATACTTGCTTTTATTTCCTTTTATGCTTAGCTTTCTTGTTTTACATAAACATTTGTGTTCATGGTTTTGCAGTTCTGTACCATTCCTTTGGACACTGCCAAAGTCAGACTCCAGCTCCAAAAGAAAGCTGTTGGTGATGAAGTTAATTTTCCAAAATATAGTGGTTTGCTGGGTACTTTGGCTACCATTGCTAGGGAAGAACGTTTGTCAGCACTTTGGAAAGGAATAGTTGCTGGTTTGCATCGCCAATGCATTTATGGAGGTCTAAGGATTGGGTTATATGAACCTGTAAGGCGGTGATACGGCCCAAATTAGCTTGTTCCGGATTATTTTCAGTAATAATCTGATATTTATGTGTAAATGGACAGGTCAAAACTTTATTAGTTGGCGCTGATTATGTTGGGGATATTCCTTTGTACCAAAAAATTATTGCAGCTTTATTGACTGGTGAGTCAATGGTAACTATTTTGCCCCACTAAACTCTGTACATCTTCTTTTTAAAGTTTTATACCTCGTTTTGTCCATTTGTAGGTACTGCACTTATAATAAACCAGTCTTTTTATTTGTTATAAACATAATGCTTTTTTTTTTTGCAATAAACTCTTATAAAAATCTCTTACATCAACAGGTGCTATAGCTATTACAGTCGCTAATCCAACTGATCTTGTTAAAGTTCGGCTGCAAGCGGAACGAAAATTGCCTGCGGGGATTGCTAGGCGTTATTATGGGACTTTGGATGCTTACCGCACAATAGTTAGAGAAGTCAGTTTTCTCAGAATAATACTATCCTTTTTTCTTGAGAAATTAGTTTGCTTATCATATAAAGTTTTCAATAATCAGGAAGGACTAGCGGCTCTGTGGACTGGTCTTGGACCCAACATTGCACGAAATGCCATTGTAAATGCTGCAGAACTAGCCAGTTATGATCAAGTGAAACAAGTAAATTTTCAATATTAAGAAAATAAATTTGACGTTAATCTTTTTAATAAAGTTGGTACTATGCTTCCTAGCATGGTAGTTCTGAGTATGTTCTAACTTCTACAATCTTAATATCATGCAGACAATTTTGAAAATTCCAGGATTCTCGGACAATATCCTAACTCATCTTCTAGCAGGTCTTGGTGCAGGTTTCTTTGCTGTCTGTATTGGTTCTCCAATTGATGTGGTAGGTCTTGGATCTGGATTTCATCAAATTTTGCCTTATTTAAGTGTTTGGTTGGAACCTAGAGTTATGTCTGTCACTTGTCTCTGTCATCATATGATTTGGGTTATGTCTGTCACTTGTCTCTGTCATCATATGATTTGGGTTATGTCTGTCACTTGTCTCTGTCATCATATGATTTGGTTTAAGGGAAAAACAGTATTGAATGAATAGAATTAGGGCTGAACAAATGAAAAAGAAAGAAGTTGGAACTTTAGAGAACATAGGCTTATAAATTGAAACCCTAAAGATGTCCAATCTTAGCTGTCCATAATATCTTATAGTTAATAAATATTACTGAAGTAAAAGAAAAATATAAATAACTAAAGGTCCTGCATCATCAGTCATAAAATTAGATTTTGTTATAAGCTTGCTTTTCTGTTTCTGCTTCAAAGTTTTGCCTCTTTTAAACCAGCTTTTTCTGAAAGGTATTATTTAATGGAACTGTTCTGATTGGTTACCCTTATATAAGAGATAAGCACCACTGGATATTGCTGAGCTATTGTGTTGTTACGTGCTAGAGTGGAATGGTGTTCTGGGTTGGTGTCGTTAAAGAAGATGATGTTCCATGGTCACGTGTAATACAGTTTAAATTGCAACTCTTTCCATGTTGATACTTCAGTTTTAGTCTATTTTTCTTCTAAGCATCACAGGAACACTCAAGGTTTGCTTATAGAAGATTGTAGGGCTCGATATCACTTAAACAAATGTAAAAAATTTATGTGGGATGTATGGATGATGGACTTGCTTGTTATGTTCCAGGTAAAATCGAGAATGATGGGAGATACTGCCTACAAAAACACTCTTGATTGTTTCTCTAGAACTTTGAAGAATGAGGTACGTTGATTTTCTGGTTCTTTTATCTAGATTCCTTATCTGTCTTTTTCCTTTGGCGTTATTTTCTTTATAATTGAAAGTATTGTAAGTGCCAAAACTTGTACCTGTCTACCTGAACTGTAAATGTTTGCATGTTTCTGGGCTGAAAATTTTTACCTTCAGCATTATTACCATCCCTCTGTTTAGTTAACTTCAAGCTTTGTAAAATATCTGGCTTTTGCGGTTCATTACATGTTTATTGCTAACCTTTCTCAAAGAGTCATCTTGTGACAATTTGATAGAAACGAACTTTTCCCTAGAAAAGCTTTGTTATATCGAATAGTAACTTTGGTAATTGATGCATCACAGGGATTCCTTGCCTTTTACAAGGGTTTTGTTCCTAATTTTAGCCGGCTGGCATCCTGGAATGTGGTTATGTTTTTGACTCTTGAGCAAGTAAGATTTGCATTTTTAGATTCAATCTTTTGTCCCTTTTTTGTACTTAAAATACATGTATCCATGCGCATAGTTATCTCCTTTGACCATTTTGCAATAGGATTTCCAGTGTCATCTCCACGTCTATACATACTATAAAAGTAGTATCCAGTTGAATGATATTGCTGAACTTAAGATTGAGCATTTCTTTGATGAGGAAACGTAGTTCAACTAAAGTAATTAAAAGGTTACCCCCCCCCCCCAAGAAGGAACCTTTAAAAGTAATTTGAAGGATATAATATTATTTTAACTTCAAGAAAAATTATATTTGTAACTTTAATTTGATTTTCCCGAGACGTAGTGAGGGTATATTCTAGTTTAGTTTAAAAACACTAACATCTAGATTTGGAAATGTTCCATTTTTATTGGCTCAGTCTTACTTGTGCGATGTTATGTCTGGCACCTTGGTGATTTTGTTTTTTTAAAAAGGCTAGAACTTCATTGATCAAGAATCCAAGATGACCTTTGCGAACATTTCATCTATCATCAGTATAGATTTCATTTATACTAGGTACTCGGACTGAAGTATGAGTGTTTGATACCAGACGCATATAAATTTAAACTTTTTTTATTTATTTTTCATGAATTTAGAGCATGTTCCCATCATGTTGACAATCTTCATTACATTGATGACAGGCCAAGAAAGCATTCCGGGGGGAAATATATTATGATTGATTTTAGTTTGCAACCAGGAAGACACACTGCTTGCTTATTGTCCCTTGAATTCTCAAGGAGTAATTTTTTTTTAACAATGAATAAGGTATGCATTGCATTGCCTTCTTCCTTTTCCTTAGATAAAGTAGTGTTATTGTAACTGTTTATGTTACCCAGAAATCTTTCAGTTTTTCTTTTCTTTTCTTTTTCGGATCATACTCTTGTACCTATGTCTGAATTCTGAAGACATTTTGATCACAAAAAGTTAACAAAAATGAAGAGTTCGGGCAACATAGTCAACTATGAAAATTGGCAAATATTTGCCGCATTGTATTTGGAATCATGCAATATCTTAACGGTTGTGGGGCATTCAACAAATATTTGCTTATTATTGAAGTAATTTATTTAAATTTAAGTTGTATGGACTTGATTTGCTTTGCATTGCCTGTTTGTTAGTGTAAGGAACTTGGTTGAAGGTTTCTCTTTGCTTAAAGAGTATGAATTCACTTTGGCAGGTAGCTTTGGATGCCAACAGTAAAGGTTCATCAATTGTTATTTGGCAATTCGTACTATATTGGTATTATTTTGTGTTATGTATTTATGCATGATGTACAGTGTCGTGTTAAAATTGCGAGTTACATTTAATCCAACATCATCGTTTTACACTAATTTTTACCATTTCAAACGACTGTTGTCCAACTACAATCCATTGTTTCATTTCTTTTATTCTTAATAAAGTGATGAAATTTTGAGTATTTTAATTATAAGGATAAATATCAAAATTGTACATGAATTTTGGTCGAATGTGCAATATGATATATATATAAACTTTGGTTAGATAGATATTGAAAATTTTGATTTTCATTTAACTATACACATTTTAAAAATAGGGTAAGATATATAAATGGTCATTGAACTTTTTTGGGTGCTTGCATCTTGATCATTTAACTTTTAAAATGTGTTATACAATCATTGAACTTTTATTACGGTCACTGTTATTAAGAAAAATTGATGTCACAGGTTAAAGTTTTCTCTAAAAGGTTCGAGATCGTTAACAGGTCGTATTACTTTGGCTAAAAGTGTTAAATTTGCTTTACCTTCTTATGCTATGCAAATATGCTATCTTCCTAAATGTGTTTCTGACAACATTGAGTGGCTGATTTGAAACTTCATTGGGGACATTATGAGTATAAGTGGGGTGCACCTTGTGAGATGAGAGGAAGTTTCCAAGCCTATAGATATGAGTGGCTTAGGCGTGCGACAGTTACATCGGCAGAATGAAACCTTTCTTAAGAAATTGATGTTTCGATTGATATCAGTTCAAGATTAGCTTTAGGCTAGGGTAGTGCGATCCAAATATAAAGTCATGAAACCTGCGCCGGAAAACATCCCGAAGAGGGATTGAGAATGGTCGCACTTTGATTTGGAAGGAATTCCGAGAGGGCCTTACATGAAATTTGGGAAGCGATGATTTTAGTTGATTTTTGGAATGATGCAAATACCAAAGTTGAACATTTTTGAGAATGTAAGATTGCATGGTGTAATAATATCAAAATTTCTATCGTCGAGTTTAAAAACAGTTGGGATGAACATTTTTCTATGGTCTTGGTTTACCTATAATAATAACTTCCAATAAAGTATAAAGATGACACCGTCTAATAAGTTGTAAGTGTCAAACACTGTTGTGTTGGACTGAATTTTCCCAGGATAGTTAATTAAATAATCAAATGCACTGCACTCAAGAACTGGTATATATCAAAATTATATATTATCAAGTGTTGTTGAAACACTAGTAAAGTTGGACAATAAATAATATAAAACTTTTAAATAACTTCAAAATATCACATACAAAATCCAATGTCATTTGACTGGTACTTAATATCACGTAATAATCCCGATTTAGTAGTTTACAGACAGCTAAAAAAATCAATTGATTCGGTGCAACACCTGATTTTATGTTAGAGGTAAATTTTTAAAAATTTTAAAAGCTTGTAAAATTTTATCAAAGTAAAAATATATAATCAATAAAAAATAAAAAAATCCAAAACTCTTAAGATAACGATTTATATCTCTCGATCCATCTCTGATTTGATGCTTCTCCACAAGCAAAGTATGTTTCTCTATCCCAAAGTTTCCACTCTATTGGAGCAACTCAATCATAGGCATAGGGAGTCAAATTAAAAGCGTCAGATCATAAAGTCCTTTTCTTTAACTTGTGCATTAAAAAAAAGAGCCAGTTTTCTCAATGTCGATCAACTGTCTTTAACCACTTTTGTTTGTGTTTTATTTGGAAAATAGGGTCACCAAGAATTCCAACAAAAGTGGTATAAACAAATGGTTTTAATGAAATCGATGGGTTTAGTTTTTCGAATTTCTTAATTGGATGGGAGTTTTAATGATTAGGAATTTAGGATAAACTACACACCCATGAGTACTTCATCACGGTTGGATCATAATTTAATCACTGATCTTTCAATTTTATCAATCATATTATTTAATTATTTAAATATTTTCAATAAGTCACCAATTGTTAACCTTTAATAGAGGAGCTGATATGATTATTTAAAAATTAGTATAATTACATATTTAGTCTTCAATATTTGCACATTTTATCAATAATTTTAATTATATGACTAAATTGATAAAATATGTAAATATTGAGGATTAAATGTGGAATTATACTATTCTTTTAACAACCATTTCAGCTAGGGATGGGCATGAGTTGGGTTGGGTCAGGTTTTTGGTCCACCCGACCCGACCCGAGAACAAGAGAGCCTCCACCCGAGACCCAACCCGACCAAAACAAGGTTTCACCCGACCCGACCCGAAATAATAAAAAAATTATTTTTATTCAATAAAAACAATGACTTAATTGAAAAAAAAATATATATAGAGGGGTATTATTGTAATTATCCCTAAATATATAGGGTAAAATTATATATTTTTTCCGGGTCGGGTCATATTTTTTCACCCTAAAACCGAACCCGGCCCAAACACTGCATAAAAAAAACCCGACCCGACCCGAACCCGATTTTTTTTATAGAAAAATCCGACCCGATCGGGTCGGGTTTAAATGCCCATCCCTAATTTCAGCTCCTGCTAACGGGTGGTGGCTTGATTGACAATACTTAAATAGTTAACTGGTTTAATTGACAAAAATAAAAGATGGGTAGTCAAAATGGAATCTACACATTGTTAAGTTGCATTGGGTGTAGTTTACCCTAATAATTAAGTAACATTGATGTTTTTTATTTGAAGTCTATAAATAAATCATGTATCGGCTAATACATTTATTTATAAAAATATTTATCAATAATCAGTTGATCTAGTGGGATAATATTAAATTTCTTTAAGTAAGGTCAGAAATTCGAACCAAGACATTTGTGAATGGAGCAAACTGAGTTGGAATGGTCATCCCATAATGGGCCTATCTAAAATTCAATTTTAATTAATACAAATGATTAATTAAAAAAAAAAACTACTAGCCAGGGATTTCTTAGTTAATTGCGGTTGAAAAGCATTAGTCTTTGCCATTACCTACTTAAAATATTTTGCATGGTTTTCCATAAAATATATACTTGCTATCAACCCTACAGCGACCATTCCGTGGACTAAAAATTTCCTAACTACTCTTCCTAAACCTTCCTCATTTCAATCACTTTATATATATATAACTTCAATCCTACCCATCTCTCTCAAAATTAAGCATCATTTCAATGGAATTGAAAACCCTTCCATTTGGGTTCACCATAGGTGCTGCAGCAATATTTGCTTATGCAGTTTGGTTCTACCTTCTAACCAGGAGGCTAAGTGGTCCAAGAGTATGGCCTCTGGTCGGTAGCCTACCATTTCTTTTCATGAACAGGAGGAGTATCCATGATTGGATCGCTGGTCATCTTCGAGCCACAGGTGGTTCATCAACCTATCAAACGTGTACTATTGCCATTCCGTTTTTGGCACGGAAGCAAGGGTTCTATACTGTCACTTGTCACCCGAAGAACATCGAGCATATTCTGCGTACCAGGTTCGATAATTACCCCAAAGGGCCTCATTGGCAAGCTGCATTTCATGATCTTTTGGGGCAAGGGATCTTCAATAGTGATGGGGAGGCTTGGCTCATGCAGAGGAAAACAGCAGCACTTGAATTCACAACGAGGTCACTCAGGCAAGCCATGGGTCGGTGGGTGAATAGGACAATCAAGAATCGTCTATGGTGTATTTTGGACGAAGCTTCGAATGAGGAGAAGCCAGTGGATTTGCAGGATTTGTTGCTTCGTTTAACATTTGACAACATTTGTGGTCTTACCTTTGGTAAAGATCCAGAGACACTATCTCCTGGATTACCTGAAAATTCATTCGCTATTGCTTTTGACGCTGCTACTGAAGCTACTCTCAAAAGGCTTCTTTACCCAGATTTATTATGGAGATTGCAGAAGATTTTTGGGATTGGACCAGAGAAAAGATTAAATAATAGCCTCAGGGTTGTCGAAAACTACATGAACGACGCCATTGAAGCACGAAAAGAAGCTCCCTCAGATGATCTACTGTCCCGTTTCATGAAGAAGAAAGATGTTGAGGACTCCGTTCTTCAACGCATTGCTCTAAACTTCGTCCTGGCTGGCCGTGACACCTCTTCCGTAGCCCTCAGCTGGTTCTTCTGGCTAACAATGAACCACCCAGAGATTGAACCAAAGATCATCGATGAAATATCAACGGTTCTCCGCAACACCCGTGGACCAGATTCCAAGAACTGGCTCCAACACCCTCTCACGTTCGATGAATCCGAAAAGCTGGTATATCTCAAAGCAGCATTAGCCGAAACACTTCGTTTATACCCCTCGGTTCCTCAGGACTTCAAGTACGTGGTCCAAGACGATGTCTTACCGGACGGCACGTTTGTTCCCGCCGGCTCAACCGTGACATATTCAATCTATTCAGTCGGAAGAATGAAGACGATATGGGGAGATGATTGCTTGGAGTTCAGGCCTGAAAGGTGGCTAACACCAGAAGGTGACAAGTTCGACCCGCCAAAGGATGGTTACAAGTTTGTAGCATTCAATGCTGGACCGAGGACTTGTTTGGGGAAAGACTTGGCTTACCTTCAAATGAAGTCAGTGGCGTCCGCAATTTTGCTGCGTTATCGGCTTTCGTCGGTGCCTGGACATAGGGTGGAGCAGAAGATGTCTCTCACACTGTTTATGAAAAAAGGGCTTCGTGTGTACTTGAAGCCGCGTCTACTTGCATGAAGATGGGCGCATTTGTGGGGATTAATGGAATTTGTCTTTACTCTTATATCATATACAGGAAATTAGAACATGGTGGATCATTCTTGTTCAAGTCGGCTTTGTGGGGGAGTATATGGTTTGATTTAATTTGATTTGTTTTGGTTTCATCATTTCAAACAATACTTGTTTGGGTGGTTGAATCTCAACACAGTTGCTTTATGGGTTCATTTTCTATACAAAAAATATATATGAAATTTCAATCATTCACCAATCATCAATTAATCCTTTTATGAATTCTCTTAAACACCTAAACATTCATTTATCCCAAATATTTCTAATATTCTCCTTAATATTTTTTATCTTCTACAATTTCTAAAACTTCTTAAAATGGAAATCTTCAAGAATGTTTCGTCCCAAAGTATAGGTTAAGAGTTCGAATAAAAAGTAAACAGATGCGAGTGATCAAATTGAAAAAGATTTAAAAGGTGATATTAATAAAAAAAAACTTCTTAAAATGGAACCTATACATAGAATCGTTGAAACCGGAGGGATTAGATAGTTAATAACCCCTTTCGAAAACAATATATATCATTATATACATGCTGACCAGAAACTCTATTCACTTCTTTAACGTAGTCATAGATAGAAGTTAATGTCACTTCGCAAGACTGAACAACAATAGATTTACAATAACTTTTTGGATGAGACCTAAATATTTTTATTTGTTTTCCTTTTTATTTTTCAGATTTGAAGACGAATACTTTTGAAGAATGAAGAAATGATACATGCACTAAGATCCATGATCGTGATGGACTGACTCTCGCATAGGTTCAATCAGAAGAACAAAGTCACGACAATTCTAAGTTGGACTAAGTTCACTCATACAAGACTTTGCAAACAAGAGCATTCAAACCTTTTTGAAGAATAAACAAATCCAGCAAGTAAAAGATATATTTCAAGAAGGAAACCCAACGAGGAGGAAGCCAAAATCACTTCACTATGAACTTAAGAGAGATTGGGTCACAAATACACTAGTGAGTCAGCAGACTTGAGGTGACTTTTTGAATGGGATTTAGGTATTTATTGATCAACACGTCTTCTAAAAAAACAATATGATATCTCTTAGTTTTTCAACGGTTATTGAAACACATCAATCTGATGTGGAGAACTCAATATACGTCCATTTCAGCAAATATATCATATGTAGAAATTCATATACTCGATTAATACGAACTTATATTAATATTACGGATTTTTAATATTTTTATTGATTATTTGTAATATAAATTAATATAGGATGTTATATTATCTTTTAGGGTTAAATTTATTATTTTATTATTTATTACGAATTAAGATAGAGTTAAAACATTATCTTTAATTTATTATTATTTTATTCATTAGTTTCTTAAAACCTTGGAACTCTTCTCCTATATAGAGGAGGTTTCATTCACTATTGTAAATCAATTTTTCTTGATTAACAAATACAATGTGAGTACGTTAAAAAGAGAGTCGTTTCAGATATTTTTAGGACTTAGTAAAAACTCAAATATAAGCCCTATAAAATTAAAGTATATTATGTTACTTTGAACAATCAATTTAATAATATATTAATAAATCATAGAAAAATGATTAAATTATGTTTTTAGAAAAAATAACGAAAAGAAAACTAAAATGGTTACCACGTGGTTTGTTAAAGAAGATTACGCGCTTTGCCCTTTTCGAATCCCATCGTTTAACTTAGCTCACCGACCATTTTTAACCATAAAATTAAATAATAAATAAAACAAGCCTAGAAAGAAAATTTTGAAATCCAAAATCATATCTTTTTCTCAGTTGCCGACTCTTCCATTATCAATTCCAAAGGCTGTTTTTATTTCATTTTTTCTTCTAATTTTAATATAAAACCCTAACTTGTTTATGTGTACTGTTTCGCGCATTGAAGTTCAATTTCCCTATCAACATCAGAAGAAACCCTTGATTCCACAAATTAGGGTATCTCAAACGCTTTAAGATGCCGGCCACCGCAGGGAGGGTTCGTATGCCCGCGAACAACCGGGTGCATAGTAGCGCCGCCTTACAAACCCATGGGATTTGGCAGAGTGCAATTGGATATGATCCTTATGCGCCCAATAAAGATGATTCCAAATATTCATCGGGTCAGGTGACTGCCGCTGCAGAACCCGATGGTGAAAACGCATACGCTAGCTTTCAAGGGCTTTTAGCACTTGCCCGAATCACTGGTTCGAACGCCGATGAGGCTCTTGGAGCTTGTAGGAAATGTGGGCGTGTTGGGCATCTTACTTTTCAGTGTAAGAATTTCGTGAGTTTGAAGGAGAGTAAGGAGAAAGACCCCGAAGTGATCCAGGCCGCGGTTCTGAATGGACTGGATAAGTTGAAAGGAGGGAAAGTAAATGGGAAGGAGGTGGAGGGCGAGGACGAGGAGAGTGAGAGTTCGGATTCTGATGTCGATTCGGAGATTGAGAGGATTATTGCTGAAAGATCTGGGAAGAAGGTTATTAGCAAAGGGAGGAAGTCATTAAAGAAAAAGACGAGTGGTGAGGATGATAGTTCGGATTCAGATCTTGGGGAGAGAAAGAAGAGAGGGAGGTCAAAGAAAAGGAGTAGTAGGAAAAGAGCAACTCGTGATTCTGATGATGAGAAGGAAAGTAGGAGGAAAAGGTGGAAAGAGAAGAGAAAGAAGAGGGATGAATCTTCAGATGAGGATGATGATCGACGTCATACGAAAAGAAAGAGTAGGAAGGAGAAGAGGAGAAGAAGAAGCCATAGGCATCCTGATGATTCTGAATCATCGGATGTGTCTGACGATTCTGGTAAACGGCATAGGAGGAAGAGCCAGAGGCACGAGTCCCCCTCTGATTCTGATGTTAGTGGTTCGGATGATTTGCGGGTTGGAAGAGGTGCAAAGAGGTCTGAGAAGAGCAGCAGGAAACGCCGTCACGAAGACGATGAGTAGAGGCTTGTTAGAAAAAGTAATACTTGTTCATCAATCCCCCAAGCTATTGATGGCTTTGTCAGTACTATCCCTGGACTATGTTTACATATAAGATTCTATATAGTTAACAATTTAGCATATTTTAAGGTGTATTTGGAACTTACTTTTATCTAGGGCTGCCTGCGGTTTTTCCTCTTATTCCAAGTGATTGTTTTCTTCTAGAAGTTATTGATATTGGCTTTGGTTTAAGAAATCGATAATGGTATTTTCAGAGGTTCAATGATGGGGTGTTCTGCATGATTGATTTCACAGTTGCTCATCAGTTTTGGTATGATATATATTTTTTATGTAACAAATTAGCAAATAGAAGAGATGAAGAAAACAGAATGTTTGATTGAGGCTTTACTACGTTTACTGATATCAAATGATAATTGTGGAAGTTTTAGTGTGGAAGGTCTCAAGTGAGGAGGTTCGAGCTCTGCCTTGCAAGATGCTGAAAGGGATTGGATTACTTTGGGTTTTCATGTCTTCCTTGAGTGACCTCCAAATTTATCTCTGTATCTTTCTAAACATCAATAAATCACTGCCACCTTGCCTCCCACATCTCTATATCCTTGTAGAGCTACGTTTATTTATATATTGCCCTTAAATTGCCTGCTATCCTTTGCTTAGAAACCTCTCTTGCATCAAATAATGTTTGAATACGTCACTTCTTCCTTTTCTCAAATGGAATTCTCTGGGAAAATTTATAAATCAACATATGACTGCATATGTTACTTCGTTTTGCTTGTTAAATACCTATCAAGCATCTTTCGTGCCAGTTAAGGTCAATGGCTGAAGAATCTTTAAACATATTGTTTATTACTAGATTTATTTTGCAATGAGTTGCAAATCATTCGTTTAAAACCGAGATACGTACCACTTTTGAAAGGGATTCAACGTCTTATATTCTGCTTTTTGTCGATTTTGCAGTGATTCAAAAGAATGGATATAAAGTTTGTGCTAGAAGTTGTTGATGTATTGGAGGACAAGATTCTATTATTCATTTGTTATCGTGCGTAATATTCAAAACATGTTGTAGGTACGCCTCTTTGAAACCAGAAAAAAAGAAAGATGTAAAAGAATTTGCAGTATGTCTCGTGTTGCTGGGGAGGTGTTCAATATCCTGTACTGAGCATGGGATACTAATATAAGATTGTTATGAACAAGTGCTTGTTCTTTGAAGTTGTTGCTGTTAAATTTGGTTATCTTTTTGTCATCTTTGTGTAGGCAATTGCTGGGGATTTAGTGGGAGACAAATCAATCAAATTTCATTGTGAATCATATTCACTTCTATGAAATGTAGATTTTAGTATTTGAAGTTTCATTAAGTTTATTTAAGTGATACGTACATTTTATGTTGTTAAATATGAAATAATATAACAGATATCTCCTATCTATCTTAATACGTGACATTACACAATGATATCCATGTCTTAGCAATACTTGGTTACTTGTAAACTCGTGCTACTCATCTTAATAAAAAAATTATATCACAAAAATAAATTTATTTTTTTATTATTAGATGATACAATGCCATATATTAACAAAATAGGGCTGTGAAAAAAATATCATCAATCGAAAATTTTGATTATTACTTTTTTTAATAATTCAGATTAGATCTTTAAAAAATAGATCGAATAATTAAATTTGATACGAATCGGCTAAATTTTAATTATAGATTATTTAAAAATTCGATAAACTTTAGACCTTTAGAGTCTAGATAACTTTCAACTTAATAAGTAACCTACGAACTCACTAAATTGTAAAGAATTATTTTTTATTAACTTTATAAAATCACAAATTATTATTTCAATATATTTATATATTACAATTTATAAATATAAAAGGTAAACATATTAATTTAATCATCATATAATTAATCATATACTTTAAATAGTAAAAGTTTAATTTTATTATATTACAATATCATAAATTTATAATCTCACAATCTCATCAATTGCAACTTACAAATCTGGGTTCATAATATATCAAGTAATAGCAGGTCGAGTAGTATTATTTATTTAAAAAAGTTAACCTCAGGTTCAGATTCGTATTATATCAGATGCAAGTCAGGTTCAGATCTAAAATTACTAGGTTCAATTCATGTTCATGTCGTTTTTAGGTGGGGTTCAGATCTAAAATTACCAGGTCCAACTCAGGTTCAGGTTAATACCAATTTGGACTCGAATCGATTTCAAATCAGTATCACCTCGAGTCACATAAAACTTTGACTCAAATCGTTTCAATTAATTTTTATGTTTGATCAGATTTTTATATCCATATAATTAATATCATCATGTAGTGTTACATGTCAAGTTATGATTGGAATGGATTAACACGTCACTTTTTATTTAATGTTCTTAATGACAGGTATCACTTTAATAGATGTATACTAAACTCCACGTGTTGAAACTTTGAAGTGTACCACATTAGAAGATGAATTTAGTGTGGTTGGTGCTATTATACCAGTCCAATTGGATTGCAGCAAGCTCACTCAGAATCTGTCAAATGGAAATAAAATATCAGAGGCGGATGCTACGATTTCGTAGGTTTGTTTGTTGATGGGATTTCGGGAACTGCATTCAAGCAAAACTATTTTCACTTTCTAAGAACTAGAAGATATATGCACACATCTTTCATAAAACAGAGTTTCTTAAATTCAGTAAAGAAGAAGAAGAAGAAGAAATGCCATCAGGCAGGTTTTTTGGTTCATTGTCAACACCAAGGGTTGATTTTACAATTGACACCGGCAATCATATTCTGAATCACACTATAGATGGTTTCTTGAAGATTGGAACTGTAATTTATGCTTCATTTTCTTTCTTCCTTTCCTCTTTGTTTTAGAAAAATTTTCTTTGGCATTTCCATCATGTACCCCATCGCCATGGCTTCATTTTCAGGTTGCGGCTACGAGGTCAATTGCAGATGATTCATTTAAGGCCATCAATAGAGGTTTTACTCACTTCTTTTTTCCCAAATTGTTTTTGGAGTGTTTGTTGTCGTATCAACTTCTCATGTGTTTCTGCAGGGAAGATATCAAAACACTGTTTGGAGCACTCTGTAAGCAATTCCTTTTCTGTTCTTTAGCTGCATTTAAATGGATGCTTAGGATCTTCAGCTGTTATTGTCATATCAAGTACAGCATAAAAGCTGATAATTGTGAAATGTTTGTTGTTGCAGGTCAAGAAGATGTGCAAAGAGGGTGCTTATTGGGGTAAGTATATGAAAGTGGTATTTAAATAGCGGTCCGTTATTGGAACAACGGTTGTTATAAAGCGATAAAGATGTCATTCGAAACCGTTATTGCACAACCGCAATTTAAATATATGTAATGAAATTACATATACAACCTTCCCATCTATGATTATGATTTCTATTTTTGCCTACTCTTTGTTACTCATAGGAACAGTAGCTGGAGTATATGTGGGAATGGAGTATGGGGTAGGGAGGATCCGTGGCACAACGGACTGGGTATGTTCACTAGACTTGACCCTAAATGTTCACTGTTTTTCACAGTAAAGGAGAAGATGGTGCTGCCATTAAAAGGATTCAAGATCCATTTTGATCATAATATCGATATATAGTGATTTAAAGTTCCATTCTTATATATAGTGATTAAAGTTCCATTCTTTTCGGATTTCACATTGTGTTACAGAAGAACGCCATGATCGGAGGAGCCCTAACAGGGGCTGTCATCTCGGCGGCCACCAACAATGACAAAGAACGAATTGTATCCGATGCACTCACAGGAGGTGCAATTGCAACTGCCTCAGTGTTCCTGAACAACATGTGAAAACAACAGCAAAACTGATTTTGCTTATTTTCTTGCACATCAAGTATCTCTAAGTAGTGTGATCCCATTTTTCCCTTCATTTTCCTTGGTGAATTTTTCTGGTTGTAAGAAAACAAGGTTGCAATGATTAAAATAACAGGATCATGCCATTGATCTCCTTCACCCACAGCTTCGTTTCCTCTTCTTACCTGTGTACAGATTTTGAGCAATGAAACAAAGGAAGTGGTTGAATCCAGCTTCTGTAAGATCAATGATTTTCCTAATAAGCTGCACAAATTTGTCCAGAATATACTTTCAACAATAATCTAATTCCCACAATGGCATACCAATTTGACCAAATGTTCAAGACATTCATTCTCTTGAGAAGGATCAATAGGAAAGAATAAATACAATTAACAAGTCACAAGGATACATGCTTTATATTTTATCTTTGAAACTGATCAATAAGTTTCAGTAAGCTATAGGTTTCAGCATCTGGCCTCGCCCCTCCAAGAATCATCCTTTTCAAAAGGTTAGGATCATATATTTTAGCCTTCACATAAGCCTTGATCAAAGTATTGTACACAAAAGTATACCGGGAATAGTTGGCTTTTTTAAGCTCTTCAAACAACTTCTCAGCATTCTTCACATCACCGTTTTCAGCAAAAATTTCTACCATTGAAAAAGTGTTCTCCATCCATGGTGTTGAACATCTGACTTTGTTGGATGTTGTCAAATTCATCCCCTTTTCTAAAGTCTTCAAGCATTCCTCCACCAGTCCCGCTTTTAAGCAACCCAGGGCAAGTTGTCGAAAGGTAATGGAATTTGGTTTGCATTCATTCATCCTCATTTCTCTGAAAACCTCAGTTGCTTTGCTGAGAAGCCCATTTTTGCAGTATAAAGATATCATTGAATTGAACTGCTCGGTTGATTTCAACCCTTTTACTGATTTCATTTGTAACCAAAGCTCTTCAGCTTGACATAGATTTCCTATCCTACCATATGCTTCAATTGCCAGAATATAACTTTTCAATCGAACATGAGGGAACTCTTGCACAGTGCCCCAAGTTCTCTCTATTTCCTTCCCTTTCCCCAAATACCCATACAATATTATTAGGACGTCTAGCGTTGACCAGTTATTCCCAGTCATGGCCTCCTCGACGGCCTCAACATAAGCTTCAGCTGCTGTGTATAGCCTTGCCACTGCATGTGCAGTAGCTAGTATGCAGTAAGATACCTCATTCGGATAAACTTCTACTCGCTTCATATCATTGAAAGCCTTTACCAACCCTTCAATGTTGTGCTCATTTGCCTCCATTTTCATGAGAATATTGTAGGTGGAGACGTGCCGAACCACCTTATCTGCCTTCATTTGATTTAGAATTTTAGGAATGGTCTTCCTACGTCCTGAAGATGAATGGAGGATTATCAGACGGTTGAAAACCAAGTATGAGATGGGGTGTTTTAATTCCCTCATTTTCTTCATGTACTCCAGTGAAAGCCTTATGAGGCCTTTATCCAAGCATGCAATCACAAGATTATTGTAGAGCAACTCATTCTGAAACTCCTGAGGGACACAAGTAAATAGCTTTTCACCTTGTGATATGCCATGGAGTTTAGTTGTAAATTCCAATAGGTAAGAGTAGTCTAATTCTTTCAGCCGATACGGTCTCTCTCTAATCACCCATTCCATCACCTAGTAAAAGTAATCAAATTTTGAGAGTTAGATTCACCTATTCCCCAACATCACAGGTACAAACGCTCACAATTCCAAAGGGTCAAACAGAATGCCATCTTGGTTCCAAAGCTAACAAATTTATACACAAACAAACACACATATACATTTATTTGTACGTATGAAAAGTGCTCAACGGATGAAAATGAAATGTCTTCATTGTTCTAGCGTAGTAATCAAACATGGACAAGCTAAGAATTCAAAGTTGTAAATAAAGTTCCTCAGCATTTAGGTTTTCTAAAGGAAACAAGAAATAAAATATTTACATGAAAACGTGCTTATTCGTTTGAAATACTTGAGATTAAGCCTCTTCAGTATTCGAAACTAAATTTTCTCTCTTTTTAACATTTTAGCAATCAATAAATAAAAAAATATTAAACTAAATTCTGAGAGAGAAAATTACCTCAAGAGCTCGTTTGTTCAATTTAAATTTCCTCAAACGATTAACGGCGTGAAAAATATCACCCCTGTGAACGGGAAATCCATCAGCCATCCAGCTTTTAAACGCTAACCCAACAGTTTCTCCTTTAGGGAGTTTCTCAATTCTCAACGATAAGCATTTGGGTTTTTCTTGTTCCGATTCCGAAGTTTGTGTTTGAAGTTTATCAGCTGTTGTGGAACACAGAAACTTGAGAGAAGAGGTACTACCAAGTGTTCGATGTATTGCTTGAAAGAACCTACTGTTTCGCAGCAAAACCAGCGTTTGCATGCTTCGGCTCTGAAGAGTAAAATTTTATTTTTTCAGCTTTTTTGGGTAAATATTGGGCTTTGAAGTTAGGCCTCTTTCAAAGACCGAAACTTGTAATTTCAAAGTAATTAATAATTATAGGTCTAATGGTAAAATTGTGAAAAATATATATAAAAAATCTTAAAGTTTATAAAAGAATATAATTTTTTTTGTTAGGTGCAAGGTTATTTGTAGAGATTTGCAATCACTGGATTTAAATAATTGACTATAATACTAAATTAATATTATCAGATTGGATTTATCCCGTACAATACAAAGAGTAGAAGAGTTTCTTATAGAACTGAAAAAATAAGTATTAAATATACAAAAAGTCTCTAACGCATGTCTGTTTTTTCAGTTTAATGCCTAACGTTTCTTTTCGTTACTCAAATTGGGTCATGCAGTGACGGACCGTTAGTTTTATACGTTAAGTGACACGTGTCACAATCTGGTATTTTTAAAAAAGTTATTTAAAATTTTTAAAAAAAGTTATATATTTTTTAAAAAAGAAAACACAAAAATTTTCAAATAACCCTAAAACTTTGAACACCTTCATTTCAACCTATTAACCTTTAACCCTGTCACCGAACCACCCTTATCTGACCGGTGGTGGTGTACACCGCCGCTCCCACCGAACTCGACAGCAACCGACAACCTTAACCCGACCCTCAAATCACTCGAAATCGGTCACCGTCGAGTTTAATCTCAAGGAAATCATTCGGTCGCCCACTTCCAACCTCGGTCACCGCTCGTCGGGAGTCATCACCGCCTAGCCCAGTGGAAGCGCCATCCCGGACCGGTCATAGCCCAGTCATCCACTTGCCTCTAGTCGTCGCCATTCGTGGTGGAGTGGCGTTTGAAAGTCCGACGAAAAACCCCATCACCGTTAGATTTTTACGATTTTCGGCCGAAACCACCGCCTTTATGCCTCACTACCACCGAAGATGAGCTCGTCGGTCCTGTCAGACCAAAACCCAACCGGTTTGGTAAGCCACCGTCGTCGAGAGGACAAGCTTGGAAGAGGGGCGATCGAACGGTTAAAGGTAAATGGGTTGAAATGAAGCGTTTTCAAAGTTTTGGGTTATTTCAAATTTTTTGTGTTTTTTTAAAAAAATATATAATTTTATTTTTTTAATTTTAAATAAATTTTTTAAAATTACTAGATTGTGATACGTGTCACTTGACGGAAAAAACTAACGGTCCGTCACGGCGTGACCCATTTTGAGTAAAGGAATGAAACGTTAGCCACCAAACTAGAACGAAAAAACGTTAGGCACTAAACTAAAAAAACGGGCATACGTTGGACACCTTTTGTATATTTAAGCCAAAAAAATAATTACATATATTTGAGACTATGATATATTTATGATGGGGTATATTAGAATTTTTGATGAAATGTTTTTATCTAAGTTTATTAAAATTATTGTTTTAAGTATAAATAGGAAGGGTTTGTGTAACATCCCGAAATCCGGGTCAGTGACTAAAATGAGAATTTTAGAAATTTGGGGATCAATTTAGGAAAATTGATAGTTCAAGGATTTGAATAGGAATATTTTATTATTGGATAAAAGGGTAAATATGAGATGATTATAAGGGTATTATGGTAATTTAGCTTTGAAGATATTTTATCTCCCTTATTTAGGGAGATAACACGTGTGAAAGAGGAAAAAGCTTCAGAAGCTTATCTTCTTTCTTTCTTCTTCTTCCTCTCGTGGCTCCAGCTCCCAAAGGTAAGTTGATTTAATTGGTTAATTTCTGGAATTTATAGGTTGAGTTGGAATAATTAGGTGTTATGTAAGCTTAAAGAAAGCTTATATAAGCTTAAAACACCAATAGGAAAGAATTAGAAAGGAATTTCTATTAAGAGTTTAGAAATGAACTTTTGTTATAGAAAGGTTTTTGAAGTTCTAAGAATGGATTTGACTTGTCAATGGGTTAATTAAGAAGTTAAAGGTGATAAAATTGAATTTAGAACACATGGAAAATTTGATGAAATTCTTTAATTCAAGAATTATGGTGAATTATGAGAGATGGTAAAGTGTTATAGTGTTATAATAAGGTTTGCATATGTATAGATAAGTTTTAAGGTATAAGGAGGGATTAATAAGTAGAATTTGGGGTCAAAATAAGACATTTTCTTGCTCAAGAGGTAATTTTTGGGATGTGTGCATCGATGCACATTCAATGTATATCGATGCACTCTCAAATAAATGAGCATCGAATGCCATTAGTGCATCGATGCATGAGGAGTGCATCGATGCACCCCCTTAAGAGTAAAACATTGAAGGTGATTTGTGTACCGATGCACGGGTAGTGCATCGATGCACATATTAAGGGATGCATCGATACATGGTAGAATGTATCGATGCACTTCAATAGGAAATGAAATAAATCTTTCTTTCAGTCTAAGAAATTATAGATTATAGTATATCAATGGGATACGGATAGTATAAATATATGATTGTGTAGACATCGATCGAAAGCAAAGTTCGGATAGGTCGGCAGAGTAAGATACTCAAAGAAAACAAGAGCTTAAGAATGTTCATTGAGACCAGGTGAGTACATGATAGTAAGTATACGTTATGTTAAGGAATTAAGACTTGTGATGAGTCTAATTCTGATATTATATGACATGAGTACTAAAGCATAAACATGTAGTGATATGGTGTTAGATGTATGGTATATGAGTAAATGCATATGTCTAATTGTTGAATGCATATTTATGTGTGAACTATGTAAATGCATGTATTCACGATAATAGGTCATTTGATCATGAGATATATGATAAAATATATGTGAAAATAATACGACTCATATGTGTTTCTATTAGAATGTTATATGATATGTTATGTATGTGAAATGAATTATATGAATACATGTTAGTATAATAAGATAGATTAGATGTTATAATTGAATGAAGGGGTTGTATGAGAACATGTATATGCGAAAATATGTTGTGAGATAAGAATCATGGCTATGAACTATGTGAAAAGGAATACAAGTAAAAGTGAAAAGCTATGTGATAAGTGAATGTGAATTACATGCAAATATGCTATGTGAAAGTGAACTATGTGCCTACGTGAATATGTAAAAAGATAAATAATAATGCCCATGTTATATAATATGAGAGCTATAGGTATATTTGGCATGCCAAGAGTCGAGGGTCTACGTGGTCCTTCGGGACACAGTGGTCTTTCGGGACACAGTGGTCCTACGGGACAAATTATGCGCGCCCCTAGTGGGATTTATACGAGCTGTGGTGACAGCATTGTGCAAAACTTATAGGTACTCACATACCTTAAGTTCTCAATAGTGTGCATGGGCTTTGAAAAGAAACATAATTTGATATAATGATATGTGTGTTTCCTGTGAAATGGTATATGCGATATGTATAAGTGATAAGTTAGGATCATATGATAATAATGGTAACAAGTGCATAAGTGTAGTGGTGATATGAGATGTTATATGATTATGTATGATATAATCATAGTAATCATTAATGTATTGTTGTGTTTTGAAATTATATTATATGTTTATGTTCAATATATGCTCATATGATGGAATTGAATTAATGACAAGGAAATAAGTAAGGATAAAACATGTTAGTGATGAGTTCAGTAGGTATATAAGTATAATATGTATTACATAAGATGTTCATGCATTTGTTAGTTACTTTATGTATTTACATGTCTCACAAAGTCTATGACTTAGCGTGTAAGTGTCTTACACGTAGGTGTGGATAAGTCAGAAGATAAAGCTTCGGATCCGTAAAGCAGCATATCTCCGTGCAAAGTTCAAATAAGAAATATTTTGTAAAGTATGTTTTGTCATATAATTTAGTATGTTGGCATGTAACTAAGTCATTATATATGTACGCTCTGATGGAGTCTGTTAAAGTTTTAAACATGTTTATGTAAAATAATTACTTTATAGAATAGAAGTTTTAAATTTTCTATGGTTTTTTTATAAAAGTATATGCTTTGAATGGTCAATGTGACACCTCGGACTCGTATTCGGGTCGGGTACGGGTTGGGGGTGTTACAGTTTGACACTTTTGGGTCCATAGGTGGTAACTAAATCATTCCGATCGAGTTCAGATTGAGTCATTTTAAGTTTAGATTGCATTTAATTTAGGTTTTATTTGGGTCGAATCTTATTCGAATTTAGTTCAAATTTATGATAATTCGAGTTGAGTTAATATTAGATCGGTTGATTTTTTAGTCTGGCCAATATCGAATTGGTCGATTTCTATTCAAATTAATGTCGAATTGATTAATTTTTTTATTCAGATCGATAAGTTCGATTTGGGTCAACCTTTGGATTTTTAGGTCAATTCAAGTTGAGCTGGGGATGAGTCTAATTGAGCATATATATAATTATTGATATATTATTGTAAAAAATATATATCTTTTTGTTTGTCAATTTTATCTTTTAGGCTCAATCGAGTATATATAGAATTGTTGATACCTTCTATATCCTTAAATCTATTCCAAATCAATTGAACCTTTTCCTCGGTTTCTCTGATAGCATTTGGTTCGACTAATTTCCTCTCACTAAGATTTCCCAACATAATGAAGTCCTACACTTACGATCATATAAGGCTTCAAATGGAACTATTTGAATGATAGACTGTAAACTATTGTTATAGGCGAACTCAATTAGCGGGAGATTTTCTTCTCAACTTCCCTCAAAATCAATAATGTAACAATAAAGCATATCATCATGAATCTGAATGATTCTTTTAACTAAACAACCATCTGCAGATATAACATTGTTCTGAAATGTAAATAGGTACCCAAAGTCTCGTGAAGTTTCTTCCAAAATCTTGAAGTAAATTGAGGATATCTAATCAGATATAATTGAAGTTGGTATGCCATGAGACCTTACCATCTCCTTAATATATAACTGAACTAACCACTTTAAGGTAAAGTCCATACGTACTCATAGAAAACACATGATCTTTATCCTTTGATCTATAATCACTCAAATAACATCATGCTTACACGG